AAGACAAAAATTAAAGGTAAACTTGAAAAATCAATAGATCATCGGTAATGGAGCACTGAATAGAACATATCCTGCAGCCATGTTGATATCTTTCTACAGAAATATATGCTCCTTGATAATATCAGAGGCCGATCAGTCCCCTTCCCATATTACGTTGAGTTTCCCATATCAATTCATATTCATCTCCATCACCAGTTACACCGGAAGAACAGAGAGAAGGGCACACTTCAAACTCTTTGTACCAGTACCAAAATGCTCACTCGTATCTCAAGGTCACGAACGCCTTCAGTTGTTCAGTTGCTGGAAAAACTTATCAACTGAGGACATGAAATAGATACTTTAGAATTCTTTAGAGAAGTCAACAAGTAATGTAGTTAGAACCTTCTCAAGTTCATTGAGGTAGTAACTTTCAAACTGGAATTGTATGTTCAAAAAGAGACAGTAATAAGTCTTTCTTTGTCTTTAAGACTTAATTATTTACTCTTCTTGTCATATGATGGTACCATCTTTTGTCGTAACCTTCTTCTACTGCTTGTACCAAAACTTTGATGATTATCTTACCAGCTGGATCCAACTCGTTATAATATGATACAGTTTTTCTAGAATCTTTCATCAATGAACCTACATGTGGATTTTCTTGAATAATCTCCTGTTCCCATTCATATTATTTTCTTGAATTGTCTGTTGCATCTGATGTATAACTAAGATTTCTTGGCATGCATTATTAACTTTATCTAGATGTTTGGATTTTTTATAAGAGCCCAGACACAGACGATGTAAATTGCTTTAATGACGACTTTATTTTCAAAAGTTGTACATTAGTATCTATAAGTGGCGGTAGACAATCACAAATTTATTTGAATTTGGGGTTTGCGGGAATTTCTAGGTATGTTTTATTTCCTTCAGTTGGTTCACATCATGGACTGACATCCGTTGGAGGAACATTGGAAACCTGGGAGCACTGGACAGCAGTTTCGTCCTAGTATAGGACTCGTCAGCAGTGCTCACCAACGATCTTATAGTTCCGTGGCCAGCACGTTACCATCGAGCTACTGGGTTGGAACTCAAAGGTCCATATTTCCAATCTCTGTCAGTTCACAACATACAATGACCATCACCCAATGTCATCGTTGAGTAGTTGTCCTCATGACCATCAAGTTTCCCCACTGGTCAAGACTTCTCATTGAAAGTTCGGGATTCACCTCTTGAAAGTAGTCATTAATGTGCACTAGTTCGGCTGAATTCAGGGATTTATGGAATTTCAGAGATATTTCTTTTGTAAGTTCGTTCTCATCATGGACTGACATCAACTGGAGGAACATTAGGAACCTGGGAGTACTGGACAACTGTTTCGTCCTAGCACTGGACGATCCCGCCAGGTCATGAACTGACAAAACTTGGAAATATGGACCATTGGATTCGGACCAGGTGGTACAATGGTAATCGGCTCGCCACAGAACCTGAAGATCTTGAGTTCCACTCCTGGTGGGGTCATAGGTGTGCACTGCTGAGGAGTCCCGTACTAGGACGAAACACCTTTCTAGTGCTCCCAGGTTTCCAATGTTCCTTCAACTGATATCAGTCCATGATGCGAACCAACTTCTTTTTTTAAAATCACAAATTTGTTTGTGTGTGTGTGTGTGTTTGTGAAATCACCAAGTGCATTAATACCAGTGAGGATAGGGTTTTATTAGTCATAAAATGAGTTAGCAAACATTTAGAAGACCAAAGCTCAAAGACATGAACTAATGTGGTATTTTCATTGGTAAGTAGTTGAGTGAAGATTATGTGAAAGAAAAAGTGTAGAAATCATTTCAACAAAATTATGGTACTGTAAGGATCAAACGAAGTGAAAATGGGGATTTCACTGTTTACTTTAACAGTAATATTCACCATAGACTGAGATCGTTTGAAGAGGCATTGAAAACCTTAAGCACTGGACACGTATCTACGCTGTTTATTTTACTGATGTACTTCATGATTAGAATTCCGTAACTTGTTAACTCCTATTTATCTGTAATGATACAGTTTCATATTTCAAATAAATATTGGGTTTTGAGTTTCATCTGTCATTACAGAGTTAGGTTGATTTCTTGAAGAATGTTTGGTTCCATATTTCTGCTAAGAAACGTGTGCCAACTTCCTGAGGTCAACGAAAGACAAATGAAGGTATAAACTAGTGTAGTCGCTTAGTAAAACAGTGCAGTGACTAGTACAGTGTGCAAGCCATGCCGAATTCAGTATAACACGGAGTCTTGCTTTCTCTGACAATTCAGTTGAATACTGTATGCGCATGTAAATAACGAATCAGTGAGCTGTAGCGTGCTTGCCTCACTAGCATCAACTAAGAGCATACAGTAATGATCAAAAATGTTGTATTGTAAAGGTGTGACGGCTGTGTTTCAGTGCACTTGGTTGTATGGTTGTCCGTCTAAGCGTCTGATGACGGTATATTGCCTGCTTTTGCTAGCTACGTAGATGAGGTTGATGACTGTGAGGTTGACGTTAGGGCCGTGATTTATTAGTATATTCGCAATGAGAATGAGGATGCGAGTTAGATTTCTTTGTTGGTTTTCCACTGTAAAGCACGTTGTTCATTCACTTTTGATGGCCTGCATGATTTGATTCGACTACTTAGTTTCAAAGAGTTATTCAGTAAAAGCGAAAACTGTATCAGCTTAAATATATGGCAACATATCTTAGTATATGAATATGTGGTGAATACAAAAGTCTTGGTTGTATTGTATTCTCTGAACTGGGTTGTTTAATCGTGAAGTCGCAATCGTCTTTCTAGACGACTTGATCACCAGCATTAACTTCTTTATGAAGTGAGCTGTCAATGAGTGGCTTGCTCTGACGATATGGTCTGTGATTGGTTGTTTCCTTCGATTGTTGTGTCATCGACGGACTGTATAGACTTTCCTGTTGGCTACCCGTTCCTCTGCTTCACCTCTCACCTTTCTGTCCTTTATCATTTTTCTCATTGGTTGGTTGATTGGGTCTATGTCCACATATCTGTTGATTACTGACTGACTGACCGACTGGAATGTGAAGCTTCTAGGAATTCTCTGATATTCTTTGTGTTTCCCCTGTCCAAAATTTCTAAATTGTCGAAATTGAATTCATGCCCATAGTTGTTATCCACTTACATTGAAATGAGTGACGAAATGTTATCAGATTTAATAGCCAATTGATGTTCATGTGAATGATGCAGGCGAAGAGGGCGGCCACTTTGTCCAATGTAGTGTTGACTACAGTTATTACAGTTAACTTTGTAAATGATATTCGGTTTGTCTTCTTTGATTGTCACATCCTTTGGTCTACATACTAGGGTAGGGTGTGGAGGGAATTTGCTGATTTATGAGCCACACCAATTCCAAGTGGTCTCAGCAATCCTGTCGTGATTTTGGATACATTCTTTATGTATGGTAGGACGATGGGTTTATTGATTTCTGTCGATGACCTTGTAGTTGATGATGTACGGGATAGGCATCTTCTGATAACGTTTCGTGGGTAGCCGTTCTTCTTTAGGGTGGACATCAAGTAATTTTCTTCCTTTCTCCGTTAAGTTGTTGTGCTGCAGTGTGTTCTCGCTGTCTCGAATAGGGTCTGCACGCAACTGATTTTGTGTGTTGTTGAGTTGTTGCTATTGTAATTGAGGATTTGTTCAGTGTGTGTTGTCTTACTGTACACTTGGGTTTCCAGTTTTCCGGTATTTGTCCTACTGACTAAAACATCCAGGAATGGTAGTTGTTTGTTTGACTCTTTCTCCATTGTGAATTTGATGTCATTGAAAAGGTTGTTTTCTGTATCATGCTTTTTAATGATGAAATATCGTCTACTTAGCGAATCTAACTTTTGGTTCAATCACAGATAGAATGATGGTTTCCGGTCTCTGTATCACTCATCCTGCAATTACAAAAGTTTCTAGAGTAGAGTTCGATCCTGTGCAGTTCCCTTGTATCGACCAGCTGCTGACAGATTTTCGTTTAGCCTGTAGGTATATTGTTCTGTGTGTAAAGCTGATTTGAGTTGCATTCAAGAGGGTGGCTGCTATCTAGTTCTGTTCATGAGCGAGCCAGATCCCATTTCTGATACCAATATGTAAAGATTAGGGGGAGACAAAATTTAGTCTGACCTGTAGGTACACTGTTGCGTAGGCGTTAGGAGAAGAGCCTAAAGTAAGAGTTTTGAGGTGAACACAATAATATAGAAGTACAGCCATACAAGACGATCCCAACACCAATGTCTAGTTCATAGAGTAACCCCTACAGTTCTTTTTCATACCATTGTGTGTATGTGTATGTGTGTATAAGAACGAAAATATTTGAATCGAAAGCCTAAAACACGATATTTATGCATAACTTTAATTTAACAACATCAGAGCAAAAGATATTTACGTTTCATAGGAATAGTCTCTCATCAGCCTTCATACTTATATAAAAACACCGGCATAACAACATACATCATAAGTTCAATAGAAGGAATAAACACATTTGACAAAGATACGTTTCGGCTTATTCAATATCACATCAAAGATTTACTTTCAGATTTTATTCACGTCTACTACAACATTCAAAAAATTAGGTTAAACAAGATAAAATTGAAAGAACTATTCTGATATAAATAATTGTTCAGTGTAAATTTATTAACGGTTCAATACAACAGATCATAGAATCAGAAAAGTACTTACAAAAGTATTTTTAATTATGAATGAAATGAACAGGATGTATTTCAAGTTGTTATTCATCGTAGTCTGACAAAGGAAACCTTTGTTCCTCCAATTGATATCAGTCTACGATGAATAACAACTTCAAATATTTCCAAAACTTCACAACTCCCTCAAAATCCAATCGAACAGGATGTAACCAAATAGTTCAGAATGTTAAATATTCACATGTTTACAAGACAATAACAGTTTTGTGATGAATTTATTCAAACCCTTTTAGGAAGATATCCTTTTCTTGTAAATGATTAACAACTTTCTCTTCGTTATAACTTTAAAGAGGTTTTATAACCTGAATAAATGTTGCTGGGAACATTCCACGATTACCAGTACTTGCTGACTCTCCATAATACCAATTGTCATCAATTGCCTCGAATAAATAAATTATATCACCAGGCTGTAATTTTAGACAAATTATAACAATTATAACAGTAGTATGATACATTCAGTATACTCAAAATGGTTGGTAAAAATCTTAAATCCAGTTTGAAACGAATTCTATAAGTTTTCATTGAAAGATTCTTTTCAAATTGTCGACTGTCTTAGTAACAGGAATACAAGAAACAAGATTATGTACTCTTTCGATGTAAATTCCTCATTCACTAATGTGCCATTGTCAAAGATTATTAGCATTCTCTGTGACTATATATCCTCTAAAAACCTCACATTTCTTATTACTCTAACCTTTCTGAAGGAGTTATTATTGCTGTGTACTGACAAAGTCCACTTCACATTTGAAGGTGAACGCTTTCGATAAGTTGACAGTGTAGCTATGAATAGTCCTTTAGGACCACTACTGGCTGATATTTATATGTCATATATTGAAAATATGGCTGGTGATCTCATTGCTAAAGTTCCTCTTTACAAGAGATATTCTGGTGACATCATAGTGATTTGTAAGAGGCATGAGGATATGGCTTGTCTACTAAATAGACTTAATGCCGTACAAACACACAGCTTGACTTGTGGGAAAGAGAAAAGTAATCAACTGCCATTCCTAGATATACTCCTCAGTCGACGAGAAGATGGTTCAATAAGACGGTCAGTTTACAGAAAGCCTACATTGACAGGACAATACCTGAATTTCCACAGTTTTGTCCAATTCAATACAAGTGAGGTCTAATAAAATGCCTGTTTACTAGGATCTATCCTATCAGTACACCAGATGCGATGGATGAAGACATCAAATTACTGACTGAAGCACTAATGGAAAATGGATATCTGACGAAGTTTATAAACCATTGTAGAGGTCAAGTAGCACCAAAGCCAACTCTATACACTGTCCTTAAGAAAAATGTCCATATCACTCTAACATACAGAGGGGAGATAAATAGTATCATTTTGAGACGTAAGCTGACATCAACCATTCAGAAAATGTATTACGCAGCGAATCTTACCATTGTGGAGAAAACAAAACACATGCTTCACCAAAAATCTAAACACTGCATCAGTGATTAAGTCACATCCCATTGTGTTTACCAATTCACATGTGTGTGGTCATACACACATGCATAGGGAGGAGTAATGGAGTCATGTAGTTGATGAGGATGGGAGTGTGAAACAGTGATAAACGCTGGTGGTAGACGACCCTCTTCATCTATAGCTAAACATATTATAGAAATAGGTCACAAAGTTCATGTTCAAACAGCTTTCAGAGTTTTATATAGAAACAGTCAGGAATGTATTCTGAGATTTGTGGAAGCCATAACCATACACAAATTTAAACGACCTTTATGTGTACAAAAACAGTTTGTTCTTACACACTACACCAACCTTGGTAAACTTTTTTTTTCTTACCAAGATTAGGATCAACTAGGTCACTTCCTGCTTGTTCTCATCTTTCTTAATTTTAACCCCCTATTGTGTTAATTGTTGTATTTATCCTCCCTCACAGTCCTCGGTTTAATATACATAGACTTGACAAGTAAATGTGCGGGGGATCAGATTGTTCGAAATGTATTGCCCAAATACATCACTCACATTGTTCAGATAAACCTCGTCTTCTAATTATGCTATCGAAACTCATAAAAGGGACTGTTTCAAAATATACGAATCAAGTGAGAAAATGTTAGACATTATACCTTTTTCATGTGAAACGATATGGAATATTGAAAGGACTGAAACACGAAATTACAAGAATTCTTTACCAAAAAGAAATCTCATAAAGGAAGATAGTGGAAGTATTACGCTTATCTTATATATATATATATATATATATATATATATATATATATATATATATATATATATATATATATATATATATATATATATATATATAATCATTTTGTCATCAGTCTTGGTGACAACCTTAGCGTTAACTTCATAAAGAAGTGAAGTATATTCAAATGTGAAACGAATGTGGAGAAGATCTTTATTACACCTTGACCTCTTTGACCTTGAATTTCCTTTGGTCATATTAGTAGCGAATTTTTGTCAATGTGAGGTTATGCAACTTATCATTGACATATTGTGTTTCATTATTGATTTGTTTTGGTCAAATTGCATTTAGTTGACGAATGCCTGTTTTTCCTTCCTCCTAAGTAGATTGTAGACTGGGTCGGGTATGTGAATTGATTTTTCTTTGGAAAATCATGCTTCTAGGAAATCTTTCACAACCCACTAAAACCGAATTAAAAAGTCAAGGAGATTGTGTCCTTTCGCTTTACCACTAGTTACTACTAGCTAAAAATCTTTCTATGATAAAACGATATAAGTGAACTTTGAAATCTTCTTACTTTACTAGCACCATTTTGATCAGTTCGGTCCAATAAACGACAGGAAACTACAAGGCACAATATTGAAGTATACTCATCGTACAATGGATGGTTAACGTGACCCGCTAGCTCACAGTAAAACGTTCCAGCGTTTGAAGTGGTAGGTGCTGGATCCAAGTGTCAATGAAAACAATAACAAAATGCAAGGCAGATACTAACACCTTATGTGTCCCAAAGGGATGAAACATACATTCTGGATCCCATTACTAGCCAGTTTTCTCCACTCTTATTCAATTTAATCATAGATACACTTATGGAGGTCTCCCTGTCGTCACCAGGTTACACAGACGTTGACCTAATCACGGGAGTCTCGACTTACCAACTCTTATGTTCTAATCACAAGAGAATTTTCGTTAGACCTAGAATGTGCAGATGACATAGTCCTGTTAGATGAAGACGATGACAAGATGCAGAGTCTTCTGAACACATTGAGTGGGAATTTGAGAATATTTGGGATGCGGTTCTCACCACCCAAATGCAAATTGTTGCTCCAGGAATAGTCTTCGACGGTGCCCCACTGCGGCTAACAATAGAAAGTGTAGCGGTTGAGTGAGTCTACCACTTCACTTAGCCGGGAGGAGGATCAGCCCTAGTGGGTCAGTGGTCGATGGAATCTCTGCACACATACAAAAGGCTCGATTGGGTTTTTGCCAAATTACGCCACCTACGGCGCCGTCGTCATATCCGACTGTCTATTAAGGGTCGCTTGTACTGTACAGCATTCCGGTCTGTTCTACTGTATGGCTGTGAAACATGGCCACTGGAAGTGGAAGATGTGAGAAGGATTCAAGTGTTTCACCACCGTTACCTTTGTAGTATAGGACGTATTTCATGGTGTCACCACGGAAGTTAATGCAGAAGTCAGAAGTAGAGTTTTAGGGAGAAGAAGTAAGTCGTTTGACGAGGTTGTGAAACTTAATCGACTGAGATGGTTGGGACACGTACTACGTATGCCCAGTCACCGATTGCCTCGTCACACAATGTTGGCTGAAGTAGGTCCAGGTTGGAAACAGGCCCGAGGTGGCCACACTAAAACATGGCATAAATATATGAAGTCTCTGACTATTGGTTTGAGCCATGTGGGGCGATGAAGACTAATCATTTGGGGTCCATGGGACAAGAAGAACCAGTGGTTGGAGACTCTAGGTGATATGGCTGAGAACCGATGTCAATGGCGCAGATGTATACACACATTATCGTCATCTTAACGACGCTATACCGAATCTCATCACTTTCTCATTCTTCGTTTCTCTCTTTTCGTACTTAATATTTCTTTTGACTGCATTCTCTCATCTTCATCTTACGCCTCACTGCCTTTTTACCTGATGTAGTGATATGAGGTGTGGCAACTCAGACCATTACGCAGTAATGGCTGGTCCTATGTTGATGTTGATTGTTTGATTGATTGATTAGCCACTTTTATCATTAATGTAAATACATTCCATTACATATAGATTTACTTAGTCCACAAGAAAAATATAGCAAGAGTATATTTGGTTTGTAGCTGTTACATTCATTTGTTGGTTCATCTTTGTCTATAGCCAAAGTAGGGTAAGACGTGCATGAGGACCGCTTCTTAATTGGTTAAACAATCCCTAACCATCTGCTAGTGGCACAAGTTCCACTGAATGTTTAAAAAGTTACAGAAAAAAGGCGATGATTCTGAGGGGAAAATTTTCCCTTCCACCGTTATCATTTTCTAAAATGGCATGGTCTCACTCACATAGAACACAAACATAAAGCAGTCTGTTATGTAATACTGGGATGGAATTCTGTCATAAACTTGGTGTTCAATGCTAGAATAAAGAGTGTAAAGGAGTTGAGTATTAATCTATCAGATGAAGCGACGAAACTGACAATTATCATTGTGTAGGTGATCACAGTAAAATTGAATAATTTCAATAAGATCAGGAAACCGGGTGTGGTGGATGAGGTTGAGGGTATGAAGAAATTGAAGATTGGGCATACTTCTTTTATAGGCACACATCAAGAATGAAGTGGTGAGTTGTCAATGCTTCTGGTGTGTGCATGCTTTGAAAACGCACTCCTTTTGAACTGTTCTTTTTCACTTTGTAGATGACGTTGAAGTATTATTTTAGTGGATGATGTATCTCCGAAGGATGGTCAAACACTTAGGAATTCAGTGGGTGACTGATCCACATTTTCCACTCCTCATTCGTGCATTGTAATGTCCAAAAAAGCGTGCTTTACGCTATGCAAATAACTAGCTCCCCAGAAGCAAGTAAAATACTAAGAAAACCCTGAAGTGAGGAAAAGTTTCAGAGCTAGAAGGAATTAATGAGGATGCATGATTGTAAACTGAGAGACGTGAAGGAAGATAAGAAGGTAAGGATGGGAGAGGTGGATAGTGGTCTGAAATGACCTGATCCCTGACTGAGTTGTGAGGAAAGTTGACACTTCCTGACTGCTCACACCGTGGAAGGCTAGGTCTTTCTGAGGTACTTGAAAAAGAATGGTTAGTGCGTGATCGCAGAGCCCGGGGAACATATGCTTGAGGCTGGTCACATAAGGCATCTTCGATGCCACAACAGCTGGCCTGGGTTATACAAGACGTGGTAGGATATATGCATTGTGGCTCTGGATCACCACTAACCATCGA